GGGACCTTGCAGGTCATCTCGTCCAACCCCCCTCCCCCCGCACTCTGCTTTCCTCTTGCTCCGCTCCGACTTCGTGTTGCAGCTCTGCTGCCCTTTGCACCTTAGTGAGGGCAGGACAGCGCACCAGGCAACTTGGCCAGGGCCCCGGACAGTTCCCGAACATGTCTGGCTGGGGAGATGACAAAAACCCTCCAGGATCCCCGGCCAAACTGGCCTGGAGACAAGTTGCTTCCTGGCCCCAAAGTGGCGATCAGCATTTCCCTGGGCATGGGACCATCCAGTTCCTCTGTAAAAGGGATTCTTTCTTTCTCACATTCCAGTTTCTGAAGGCACCACGTAAGACGCCAACAGAAGCGAAGGGGCCAGAAGGAGATATCTCTCTCTCTCTTCTCTCTCTCTTTCTCTAACAGCTGTGTTTCCTGCCAGTGTTCCCTTCTAAGCTGAGTTAGAGTGAGCTAACTCGCAGTTTTTTAGCCTCCGGCTCACACTTTTTTGTCTTCGCTCGGTAAGGACGGCTCCAGAGCAAACTAATTTATTTTTTATTTTTTACAGTCCGCACACTTAACCACTACACCAAACTGGCTCTCTAATCTGGGAGAACCGAGTTTGATTCCCCACTCTTCCACTTGCAGCTGCTGGATGACCTTGGGCAAACCGTAGTTCTGTCAGAGCTGTCCTTGAAAAAGAGCAGTTTCTGTCAGAGCTCTCTCAGCCCCACCTACCTCACGGGGTGTCTGTTGTGGGAAGGGGAAGGGAAAGGAGTTTGTAAGCCGCTCCGAGACTCCGAGTGAAGAGGAGGAGTATAAATCCAATCTCTTCTTCTCTTCTTCACGACGCCGAGTTCAGCTCTGGGATACTCTCACGTGCAAAACCCCCTGTGCGAAGCCACAGAAGAGGCAGAAACAACTTCTTTTTTTGCTGTCAAGCTGCAGCTGGACTGGGGCCAACTCTGCTTCCCTCCCAAGAGCCAACGTGATCCGGCTTCGCCTGGGCCATCCAGCGTGCAGCTGAAACCAGTGGGAGGCCCCATCGAGTCACGGCTGACTTCTGGCAGCCCTGTAGGGTTTTCTAGGCACCAGACAAACAGAGGCGACCCTAACCCTAACCCTGGGCTTCCTCAGCGGTCTGGTCTCCCCATCCAAAGGCTGACTAGGACTCACCCGACTTGGCTTCTGAGATCTGACCAGATCCAGGCCAGGAACCTCTGCCGCCTGCTCGGCCTCAAAAGCTGCCATCCGGTCCCCGTTTTAAAGATCTCATCCTGACGGCCGTCACAGCTTTTTACAGCAAGATGCAGGTTTATAACTGGGACAGTGCCGGACGAGAGGTGCCTGTTTAGGGCTGCGCATTGGCATTCATGCGGAAACAGTCTTTCTGTGGGGAAACGGGGGCAGACCAGCCTGCCTGCAATTAAGATAATGGCTCCTTGGTTCCCAAAATGCCATTAGCCAAGCTTTTTTCCTGGAATCGGCCTTCTTGCTGCTAAAAATTAACATCTCGTCAGGCGGCTGTTGGGAGGCTTTAAAGCCAGGGGAACCCTTGAGCCACAGCTTAACAGGCAGACGACACAGACATGGTGAGCCCCGCAAAGCATTTGGGGGGGGGGGGAGGTGGCATGGATGGTCAGTTTCAGGCTTCCTTCGCTCTTTCCAGGAGGCAGTGAGGGTCACAGGCACAGGTGGCTTTACAAGGGGACTAGACAGATTCATGGAGCACGGGCTCATCCATAGCTATGAGCAATGGTGATGGAAGAGAACCTCCACATTCAGAGGCAGTAAACCTCTGGATCTCAGACCCAGGAGGCAACATCAGGGGAAGGCCTTGACCTCTATGCCCTGTTGTTGGCCCTCCAGAGGAATTGGTTGGCCACTGTGTGAGGCAAGAGATGCTGGACTAGATGGACCCTCACTGGTCTGATCCAGCAGGGCTCTTCTGAGGTTCTTCTCAGGGGAAGCCCTCGGCCTCTCTGCCCTGTTGCTGCCCCTCCAGAGGAACTGGTTGGCCATTATATGAGGCGGGCTGCTGGATTGGATGGACCCTCACTGGTCTGATCCAGCAGGGCTCTTCTGATGTTCTTATGAAGGCCTCGGCCTCTCTGCCCTGTTCTTGGCCCTCCAAAGGAACTGGATGGACCCTCACTGGTCTGATCCAGCAGGGCTCTTCTGATGTTCTTATGAAGGCCTCGGCCTCTGTGCTTGTTGGCCCTCCAGAGGAACTGGTTGGCCACTGTGTGAGACAGGATGCTGGACTAGATGGACCAGTGGTCCGATCCAGCAAGGTTCTTCTTATATTCTTAACTGAGGGTGCTTTCCCATGTTGCAAGTACCTTGTGGTGTTGGTAGCTGTTTTTGTGGACAGCTGCATTCGTGCAGACAAAGACAAGGAGGGACAAATGCTTTTAGCTTCCTTTCAGTCAGGGATGAGGGCTAAGGAGTCAGGACAAAGCCCTCAGAGGAAGGGTGAGTTTTGCAGCAGGTTTGTGAAAGAGGAGAGACAGGCAGCATTGCCCAGAGGCCTTTCCGGGCACAACCGGAGACCCGACAGTGCACCCAGATGCTTCCCAAACGTAACGCAAGAGGAAGAGGGAGACTCTGCTTCCTTTGGTCAAGAGAGCTCTGTCCTCCAGCTTGTCTCCTGCGATGTGACGCAAGAATCAGAGAGGGGGGAGAATTCCTAGGCAGGAACTGAGGTCTCCTGACTGTCCCACACCAATCAAAGACGCTTGTCTGGTGGGTAGACACAAGAGAGGGCCTTTTTGTTGGTTTTTTTTAAAAAAACAATTTTTATTAGGATATATCAATAAGTCATGAGCTTATTATTATTATTATTATATGAGCTGCGGTGGCTCAAGTGGTTAAGACACTGAACTGCAGGCTGTGGAAGATCGGCAGTTCAGCAGTTCGAGACCCGAGTGTGCCGCATGACGGAGTGAGCTCCCGTCTCTAGTTCCAGCTCCTGCCAACCTAGCAGTTCGAAAGCAAGAAACTGCAAGTAGATAAATAGGTACCACTTCGGTGGGAAGGTAACAGCGTTCCGTGCGCCTTGGTGTTTAGTCATGCCGGCCACATGACCACGGAAACGTCTTCGGAGAGCGCTGGCTCTTCGGCTTGGAAACGGACATGAGCACCGCAACCCTAGAGTCGGATTCGACTGGCTTTCGAGCAAGGGGACCTTTACCTTTACCTTTTTTTATCAATAAGTCAAGTTATACATCACCTTACAAACTATTATATATCCTTTCCCCCTAATTACCCACCCCTTCTGACTTCCCACAGTGCTCCAACCTCCAGCCCAAATCTTGTGTTCCCCTCTTTCCCACTCATTCATTGATCAAATTCTACAGGTAACATACCTTTTAACTATCATTTCTTATAAGTTTAAACTTATTCGCAATAACATTCTTTTTTCAATAGTTATCAAAGCAAAGTAGGTTGTTTTTTACATCCCAATATTTCTCTAAGTATTCTTTA